CAGGCCCAGGAGAGCCTCACCAGCTTCCGCGTCGCGTCCACTCGTGCCAGGTCGGAGCCTCACTTCTCCAGGGCAGGCCCCGCACTTGCTGTCTGGGGAGGACCAGGGTGCCCACGGCAGTCAGGGTCCCTTGCTGCCAGCGAGGCTGGGAGAGGCGCAGGGGTGCTGTGAGGGGCCCCGTCTCTTCCTGCCGGGAGCTCCCAGATCTGGAATCAGCTGGTGGAGTTGTGAAGACAGTCCTCTCGCTCGCCTGCGTCACCCACTGACTCAGAGCAGCGGCCCCGCCCCAACCATACATCCCAGGCAGTCACCCCTCCGTGTTCTGGTCGGTCCACATAGTGTCCCCTGTTGGCTTCAGAACTTTCTAATCGCCCAGGTGCTTTCAGGGCCCAGGGGCTTGAGGCAGCAACGGAGAGGCCCCAGGCTCAGGCCCTGCTGCCCGTCAGGCTCTTGGGCCCTGAGCAAGCCTCTCGCCCTCCCTGAGCCTCAGCATCGTCGTCTACGAAAGGGGCGCAAGAGCAGGACCTGCATCCTAGAGCTGTTGCTCAGGTGCAGGGAGTCCTCAAGCAAGAACACGGAGCTCCTAGTGAAAGTCGGTCCTCGGGGTCCTGAGCGGTGGGCGGGCTGCTCCGTGTGGGGCACGTGCTACGCCCTCATGGGGACAGTTGGTATTGTCTTATGTTAATCTCACGAGAAAAAGTTAACTGAAAACTTAAGATGCCCATCCAGCTGCCTGGGCCCCGCAATAGTCCTGCCGAATCCTAAAGGGGGGCTTATGCAGGGGGACCTCGACTTCGGGTGGAAGGCCTTGTGGGGCTGAGGGCCCCAAGTGACCCGAGAATCAGGAGTGGAGGAAACAGTCCCCGGGCGGGTGCGACGGGACTGGTCGAGCTCAGGGCCCAGTGGACGGGGTCAGGGCCTCTCCCAGGTAGCCTGACACCACAGGGGGCCTAAAAGCACTTTCCGGGGAGGGCACGGGGTCCAGCACGGTGCTGTGTGGACGAGCAGGGCCCGGCACCCCGGGACGGAGGACACCTGGGAGTGGATGCTGAGCTGGTGGGGGGCGAGAATGGGGGGAGGGGAAGAGCTTCCTTTGCGGGGCTGGGTGGAGTCTAGACCTTACCAGGACGCCGGGCCAGCTGAGCTGACCCACGCTGACACCCTCAGCAGCCTTGGCTCCCAGCACTCAGCCCCTCCCCAGGCCCCCACCCCCAGCCAGCTCCTGCCCACACTGGCTGATGGGCACAGGGTCCTGCCTGGACAGCCCTATGCTGGCTGCCAGCCAGGCACTGGGGTCATGCAGGAGCTGTCAGGGGTCCGAGCCTCGCGGTGGGAGCGGCCCTTGGCTGGTGCAGGGCCTTGGGAGGGGTTGGGGAGGACGCCCACGGCCAGTTAGAGCAAGGCTGCCCGTCTGGCAGCTTCTCAGCTGTCTGCCCTCGGGCCTTGCAGGCCGGCAGGGCGACGCGCACAGCCTGGAGGAGCGGGGGTGGGTAGGGGGTTGAGGCGTAGGGGGCAGGGGCTGGGGGGCAGGAATCGATAATGATAATTAACAGCTGCCACCGTGGACGGCATGCGGGCGCAGGGGCTGGGCTTCCACTAAGAACCTTCTCCTTGGACCCAGGCTGTCCCCCGGGAGGCGGGCGACAGGTGTACCTGCTTTAGAGAGGAGGGATCTGGCTCAGAGGCAGCCGCGCATCCAGGAGGGAGGGACTCCAGCTCTCTCTGAGCCTGTGCCCTCGCTTGGCCGGCCCCGAGGAGGGCAGCTGTGGTGCATCCACAGCCTCCAGCAGCCCCCATCCTAGAGCCGGAACAGCCAGAGCCCCCGTCTTGCACCTCCAGCCCCTGAGCAGGGAGACCTCGAGAAGTACTCTCAGCTCCCTCCTCCGGGAGGGCTGCCGGTGGGTCCTCATTTTCGTGTCCTGCTCTTGTGTCCGACACACAGAGGTGCCGGCGCAGCCAGAGACCCCCGTGTCAGGTAGGCCGAGGAGTGAGGTCATCCCAGGCGGGTCATGTTCCAGGGGAGCTAAGTAGTGGGGCAAGAGACCCCCATGTCAGGGCCCCTTTCCCAAGGATGTGAGGTTGGAGCTGAACCCCTGAGAGGGAAGGAGGAGGGGTCCGGGGTGCCCGGGCTCGGAGCCTGGCACTCTGGGTATAGGGGGAGGGGCCTGGGCCAGGTAGGAGCTGATGAAGCCCCCGGTGCAGTGGAAGCTGCTGGAGGGTGTCAGGCAGGTGGGATGATGTCCTTGGCTGCTGGGCAGAGCCTTCAGTGGCTCCCTACTGCCCGCACAGTGAGCCTGCCCTCCCAGCCTGGCCCGCCCACCTCCTTGATTCCCCTGCACAACTAGAAGCCCTGCACAATTTCCCTCCAGCCTTTGAACTCTCTGTTCCTTGACCACAGTGCTGTTCCTCACCATCTCCACACCAGCTGTGCTCTTTCCCAAGGGCTTCCGTCACTGTCTGCTTTCTGGGGTGGGGTCTGTGCCAAGGGTGGCCTCAGGAGTGGGGTCCTGACATGAATTGCTCCATAAACCTTTCCCGAATCTCAGAGTGCTTGCTGACGCCTATTACACAGGCGTAAAAGCTCAGAGAGGTGAGGTGACTTGCTCTAGGTCACACAGTCAGGAGGCAACAGAGCCAGACTGAAAACAAGATTCCAGAAAGACTCGTGAGGTCTCGTGTATCTGCAGTCCTACTGTGCGCAACACTGGGACCCGGGACCCAGGGCGAGGGGTGGGGCCTGGTAGAGCAGCAGGGTGCTTCCCGCACCCTCAGCCTCCATTCACCTGGGTTTGAATCCCAGAACTGTTGCCTCTTCTGCAGGGAGAGTTCAAGTGAATGACAACCAGGCCTTGAAGCCCTGCAGGCCCTCTAGGCCCTGTGGGGATGCACCCAAGCTTGCTGTGCGCCCTTGGGTGATTACTGCACCTCTCTGTGCCTGTGGAATGGGGCTGGCAGCAGCGCCCTCCCCCGAGGTTGCACAGGAGTGACACGAGCGATGCCCGTCTGCCGTCCGCCTAGCGTGCCTGCGCGTGCGTCTCCTCCGTCCTCCACGGGGCGTGGCGGGGGCGGAGACTCTGCGCAGGGCCTGCTCCCCACCCTCCCTGGGTGGTGCCGTCCTCATTAAAGGAGCACCGTGAGGGGCGCCAGCGCGGCGGCCCTCGCGGGCTCCCTCCTTGCCCTCAGCCGGGTTTCTCTCCATCTGTTTTTCTGGTTAGTCCCTTCCCTGATGCTCTTGGGAAGTCAGAACAGGCCCCGTGTCCCCAGCGTCCCAGCCTGGCATGCTGAGCGCCTCCCAGGCCTGCCCCAGGGCGGCCTGGTCAGATGAAGGACTGACCTGGCCGGGGCTGTGCCCCAGAGGGTGGCCCGGGACCCACGGTACTGGCCACGTTTGCCTTCTTTGGTTGTCACTGGGGACTGGCCGCTGGCCCTGCCGCCGGGCATGGTGTTGACGGGCCCCACAGCTGCGGCGCATATGTGCCCGGCCGTCAGCCTCCTGACAGGCGGGCGGGGGGGCAGGGCGCCCAGCCGGAGGGAGGCCAGCGGCTGCAGCTGAGTGGACAGCAGGTGCTGCTCGGCCGGGTGGCTCCTGATCACCGGCTGCTTCCCCCTCCGTGGGGTGCAGTGGGGAGTGGGATTCTCCACTCGCACCCTCGGGGCCCTGGCGTGCGGGGGCGCTGTCAGGGCCACCGCCCAGAGCTGCTGGGTGACGGATGTCTCCTCTCTGTAAAGGAGGAGGTGGGGTGATGAGGAGAGGTTTGCAGGGTCTGGGGCATGGATAACGGGAACGCCGTGTGTTTGAGTTGTTACATCCACAGAGGCTGGCTTCCCCCGACGCACGTCTCCACGTCTGCACAGATCACAGGGGACCCCTGGGGGGAAGGATGGGGCGAAACAGAGTGACAGGAACTCCAATCCTAGTGACGGCTGACAGGTGCCGAGCCCCAGCCCCGTCACCCCTGCCCCTGGGGAGACCCCATCGGGGTTCGCAGGACATGTTCAGGGCAGTGGCTGCGGCAGCGTGGCTGCTTGTCACAGGCGGGAACGCCCACCAAGAGCCCAGCCACTGCTGCCAGGTCTTGGTGGCGGCCCCGGGCGCTGGCTGACCCTGAGTTAGGACAGCGGGGCTCACCCCGTCCACCTGCAAAGAATCCGGGGCAGCCGCAGCCTCAGGGCGCGTGTGGCCCATCGGATTCACCCTGAGGCCTTCTCTCTGGGGTCTGTTTTGGGGGCCCAGGGACTCAGGGCCCTGCCAAGCCGTGGTCTCCTCTTGTCATTCCCACAGAGGGTCTCTCCACACGCCCAACCCTTAGCAGAGCCTCAGACCAGGTGGGAATCTTGACGCAGTACCTGAGGCCGGACCCGCTGGTCTGCGGACCACACTTTGGGCAGTCAGGCCGTCCTAGGCAACACAGAAATCGACTGTGTGTTTGGTCTGTTGGACCCAGGAGTCACCTGGGCCAGGAGATGCTGAAAATACAGACTCCTGCCGCCCCCAAAGGGTCTGCTTCCCAGTCTCTCCTGGGAAGACCCCCAGATGAGCCTTTTAGCATCTGGGGGCTCACAGGGCCTACGGTTTCTCCGAGTAGGTACCCCTGATGAAACAGAAATGCAGGGTGTCGGGCCGACCCCAGACCTGCTGAATCAGAACTAGGGGCCGGGAGGCTGCATCTGTCTGCGCACACCCTCCAGGGGAGGCCGCGGCAGCGTGGGAGCCACTGCCGCCCAACTCCCTGGTCTGCAGGAGGGGGGGGCCCAAGCTGCCCCAGTGCCACCTCCACAGTGAGGCCCCCAGGCCTGTTCCGACCCCCAGAGTTCTTGAAGCTGCACCCTCCAGCCCTCCTGAAATGGCTGACCCAAGCTCGCCCTCTGTGGGCAGACCCAGGAGCCACCTGGGCCCCCGGAGCCGGGAGCCAGGTGGGGCTGGCAGCGGGCTGCATGCCCCTGGGCCTGCCTTACTGCGCTTTCTCTCTCCCCTCCCCGCACCGGGGTTGCACCCACAGCGGACAGGAAGGAGAAGGCCGCAGGGATGCCTGACTCCCCAGCCGAGGTGAAGCCGCAGGCCCGGGCCACGCCCCCCAGCATGCCGCCCCCGTCGCCCGCCACATCCCAGGGGGCCACGCGACACCCCTCCCTCACACCCCACACAAGTGAGTAGCCCCAGGGCTGGGCGAGAGGGGCAGGGGGAGGGGCACTTCTGGGGTCCCTGGGGCGGTTCGAGGTCCGAACCTCGTTGTGATGGTGAACGGAGCCAGCCAGCACCGCGGCCCCTCCACCCTGAACCCGTAAGTGCCCCCGCTGGCCTCTGAGAAGGAGGCTCTCATCATGGGTCAGGGCCCACGCTTTGAGCTTCAATCCCCAGCTTGGCTGCTTGGTAGCTGTGTGGTTCTGGGCAAATTTCTTAACTTCTCTGGGCCTGGAGTTCCTCGTCTGTAAAGTCGGGCTGGTCGTGGCCCCTGCCTCACGGAGCTTCTGTGAGGACGATGAGTTAGTGCGGTGGGCACACGGTAAGCATTCCGTCAAGGTTAACAGTCAGACTGGAGCTCAGAGAGGGACAGGACTTCCCCACAGCCATGCAGCAGACAGGTGAATTCTGTTGGGCCTGAGTTCCCTGGAGGGCCAGTCAGAGGCAGCTCTGGCCTTGGAGGAGCTCCACGGCCAGGCCTCAGTGGTGTGAGGGTTGGCTAGGAACGGGATCAGCGGAGCCGCGGCTGCTGGTGACCTGGTGAGCAGCCAGAGCCTCAGGTGGTGTCTCACTGAGCCTGGGCCCTGGGTGGAGCATCGCGGTGCACACAGTGCGTCTGGGCGGGCTTCCGGAGTCCACAGCCACCTCTGGAGCTCTGTTCCTTTGAGTCAGAGAAGTTGGTGTCTCAGTGACTTTGGGTCCTGAGCAGTTGGGAAGGAGACCCCCAGCTTGGGCTGGTGTGGGGGATGGTGTTCCCTGCCCCCAAGCCCAGGGGCTTAGCAGGCATCTCACATGCCTCCCACACCCCCTGGTTCAGAGGCCAGAAAGCCCCACGCTGGGGACCCTTCCCCAGGCTTTGAAACTCAAATGAAGCCCCTCTCTGGGGGAGGAGCCCCAAATTCTCGGCCTGGTGGCTCCTGGCCCCCCCCCAGGTCCCCTTGGGCTCCACCCTGCCCACCCGGGGTCCACCAGCTCTGCCCAGAGCCCAAGGTGGACTGCAGGGCCTGGCCTGGCCCCCTTAACTCCTGAGTGTGCAGGGCACTGGTCCTGCTGTGAGAGGCCAGGTGGCAGCTCTGTCTGGAGAAAGGGGTCAGGCGGCCCATTGTTCAAGGCCAGGCTGGGCCCCTGGGCGTACGCTGTTGGCTCTGAGCCAGGCTCTGACCACTCCATGGTCTGGTAAATGGGGTGACACCACTTGCTCCCAGGTGTGGCCACCGGAAGGCAGGGGGTCCCTGCACACAGTCAGAGCCTAATAGCCCAACACCCTTCCCTGAGTGTTGCCTGGAGCAGAAGTTTCCAGCTCCTCTCCCCCTGGGGAGGGGCTGAGCCAGCGCCCCCATGTGTGACTGAGACCGGACTGGGCCCGGCCCTGTCCTCCACGCGTCCCGGGTCAGCCTGCACTGGCTGCAGGGAAGGGGCCAAGGGGCTGGGCTCTGTCTCACACCGCTTCCGCCTGGCACCTGCAGCCAGCCGGTCACTACTCCCCTTTCTGAGAAGTCAGTCCTCATCTCAGGCTGATCCACGGGCTAAGTCTCCCCTCGCAAGTAGAGGGGAGGCTGGGCCTGGTTTACCTTCACCAGCGTCTGCTCAGCCCAGGCGAGAAGAGGGGTGTTCCGTGATGGGGCAGTAGCAGCTCCCAAGAAGCAAGGCCACGGGTGCCCCCCCTCAGGATGACGACCCCTGCACTGCGGTCCGGTTCCAAGCAGGAGAGTCCAGCAAGCCATCTGAGCGGCTGGCCGAGGGCTCTGAGCCGGGTCCCCAACCCTGACAGGCACCTCCGTGTTCCAGGAGCCCGTGATCCCGAAAGCACTGGTCTGGGAACCAGATGTTCCAGGTCACGGGCGGCTAACGCCGCCCGGCATGCTTTCATGAGGACAGTGAGCAGATGTGGGCAGCAGGCCTGTGTGTTGCTCGGTTCCCCTCTTCCCGTCCCCACACGCAACTCCCCCCACCACAGGCTCACACTTGTGGGGTCGGCCCAGCCTCCATTCAGAGCATGGAGGTTAGAAGCGGGTCTTTTCTAAGCGGATGCCTCAGTTGCCCCTGACTGCTGGGGCTTTTGTCTGTGGGTAAGGCCGCCTCCACGGTGGCCTCGGATTTGCTCCCTAACCTACGGAATTCCCTGAAAGCAGGGTGGTTAACCACGTCCATCCGAGCACCTAGCTGGCGGCAATGCAAGCAGGCGGGGCCTCTGTGCTCGCCTGCGGAGTCCCGCTTCCCGGCCTGCCTGCTAGCCCTGCTGCCAGAGACTGACCTTGAACCGCGGCCTGAGGGCTGTGGTTTTTCTGGCCTGGGGACAGCCTTGGGCACAAATTCATTTTGGAGTTGAAGCTGTGCTGTGGCCAGGGAGGGGTGGGGGCCTCAGAGAACTCTGCAAAGGGGTGTAAGGAGCTGCTTTGCAACTGGGAGGACCTTCCAAGGGCGAGCGCCCCACCCTGCCCTTGACCACCCACTGTGGACGGGAGGTCCAGTGTCTCCCTACGGTTTCTGCCCCCTTGCTCCATCTCAGACAGATCACCTCTCCCTTTCTGTTTTGGTGTCCCTCCCTTCACAGCAGCACTGTCCTGGGCTTCTCGTCTGTCAGTGGAGACTTTCAGCCCGTCGCCCTGGGCTCCGGGTCCCTGAGGATGGTGTCGAATGAGGTTACCAGGCACCTTCCAGAAAGAGAGCTTTTGAGAGTCAGGGTGTCCCACCCATGCCCATGAGACACCAAAATTCTTGTAGACCCCCTGAGAAGTTCCCACCAGAAATGTAAGAGATCCCCTGATTCAGCCCATTTCACAGAGTAGGAAGCCGAGGCCCCAGAGAAGGGGATGGACTGGCACGAGGTGCTGACAGTGCCGATCCCCAAAACCGCTGTCCAGAGGCAGGGGAAGGGCCGACTGCAGACGCCCCTCAGGGCAGAGTCCCCGCCCAGCCTCCCTCCTCACAGTGTTTTTCTTATTTTGCTTACAGATCAAGAGGACGGACCTGCGGTGTCTCTGCCCCACGGCCGTTTTCATGGCTGCTTAAAATGGTCTATGGTCTGTCTTTGTAAGTAAGATAACAAAAACCACAGGCCTCCCGGGAGGCCCTCCCCCAGCACCCGCTGCCCACCACGGTCTGGTGCTACCCGCCTCCCTGAGGGAGCAGGTGTCCGGGACAGACCCAGGAGAGCGGCGCAGCCAGGGTCCCCCAGTCACAGACCCGCCTTCACCCCCCAGTCCTGCCGCTCACAGCTGTGCAGCCTTGGGCAGCTGGACGGCCTCTCTGAGCTTCCTCTTCCCCAGTGCAAAACAGGGCAGGTCACGCAGGCCCGAGTCATGAGATGGTCAAGCGTCAGTGGCAAGTCCATCCACAGCCTGTCTTGAGGGCAGACCCCACTCTTTCCTTTCCAGACACGACATTCTTGCACGGGCACCACCCCCGTGCCTCTGTGTCCCCCACCTAGAACGGAAGTCGTAGCACTCGGAGCTCAGGGCAATCACCAGGGCCCCGCCGGGTGCTTCCAGCGCTCACTGCGAGCTCAGCGGGTGGGCCGCGCTCGGCCGCAGCTGATGGCTGTGAGGGGCGCTGCTCGGCCCGTGAGTGCACCAGTCCGCCCAGGTGTGGCTGCCGCGCGGCCCCCGGGCTCCATCTGAGCGGGAGGGCGGCAAAGCGGCTGTGTGTGAATTCTGTCCTCTTCCTCCGTCTGGGGCTGGCATAGCCTCGGAGCCGCGGTGCTGGCAGGACTGGGTGGTCTGTGTAGGTGAAGAGGATGGTGACTCCCAGGGCCCCAGGCGGGGACAGGGGGTGGTGGGAGGGGCTGTTTTCAGGGCGGCGGCCCAGCCCCACCCCTGCCCAGGCCCGGGGCTGGGGGAGCCGTGGGGGTGCTCGTGTGTGCCCCCAAACCTCGGCCGGGACACGTGTGGTCTATCTTAGTAACACACCTGTTGTGGGAATGAAAGCACTTGTGGCCGGGGTTATTTTCGGCGTCTCTTCAGCAAGCTGCAGAGGCTGCCCGGCAGCCCGCAGGAGGGAGCACGGCAAGCGAGGCCGGCGGGCCGCCGGGAGGACCAGGCGCCCAGGGCAGGCTGGTAAGGGAGCCCGGAGAGGCCGGGCCAGGGGCCAGCGGGTGGGGGCCCAGGCGGAGTGGCACGCCTTAGAAGCCTCTGGAAGGTTCAGACCCCGAGTGACAGCCCAGCTCTGCCATGAGTGACCAGAAGTCCCTGCTGTGGTGAGGTCCCGTGGCAGCGGGCCATCTCCCGGGCTGTCTGGGGTGACCGCCAGTGGCTGTCATCAGTCTTGGCCAGGGCGTGCGTGTCAGCGTCCACTGACGAGTCGGCTAGAGCTGAGCAATGAGAGAAAACTAGCACCAGAGCGGGGGCTTCTGGCCCCAGGACCCCTCGGTCCCGCCACGGAGAGGGTGAGGGACAGGGCTGTCGTGTCCTGCGTCCTGCGTCCGGTTCACTCTGCACCCCAGGGCGACGGGAGGCCCTGGGGCGAGGCACACTCTCCTGCAGGAAGATCCCAGCTCAAAGTGTCTCTTCTGGGTCCTGGAAGAGCTTCTAAGATCCCCCAGCCCTGGGGGCAGACTGATTTCAACCTGCACCATGTCTTCAGGGGAGGGAGTGCTGCGCTGAAGGCCGGTGGAGGATGCTGGGCTCTCCTCCCACAGCCCGTCCCTTCTTGGGAGACAGAGGCAGTCATCTGTTTTGGGGCCAACCCTGGCCTTCAGTCGCAATTCCAAACGTCTGCTAAGTGGGGGCCGGTTACTGACGAGCGATCACCCAGCATGTCAAGGCAATCAGGTCAAGTGTTTCTGGCCACTGCGCGGCTGGATAAGCAGAGAGCATCCGGGGCCAGGCACCTGGCCCTCGGGGTCCTGAATGAAGCCCTACCTCTGGTTCAGGCCAAGGCCCGCTCGCGGATGAGGAAACTGAGGCCAGGGCCCGCATCTCACCCCCAAGGCACGTCTGGTCTGGGCCAGGATGCCAACTCCCGCCCAGGGCTGCGTCTGTCTGCTGCTGAGGGTCTGCTGAGCGCGGGTCAACCAAGGGGTGGGAGGCAACCTTGGGACCCGCGTGGCATCTGCAGTGACGGCGAGCCCCATGGCCTGTGGCTCAGTGAGGGGGGC